CAAATTTATTATAATTGTTATATTTTCATTATATATATATATATATGTATATATAAAGAGAGTACAAAACATAGCAACAAAAAAGACAGGAATATTTAATGTATGCCGTATTTGAAAACTTCGTTTTTGTAAAAGCAAACACAAGGTTTTACTATTATAGTCACCAAGTCAGTTCCTTAAAATTCGAGGAAATGAAGCCTCGACGCACTTCACTAATTCTTTTTGTCAGAAAATCAATTTAATTGATAGCAAAAGGAAAAAAAAAATATAGGGCACTAGCACTTGTCAACTTTTTTTTTATATATAAATTTTATAATTTTGTTATAATCTTCATTATTTAGTATTTTTTTATAATATGATAAATTATTTATGGATTATAAACTTATATGGACATTATTTATCATTTAAGCCCAACACCTCTAATTTTTCAGGACTAACTCTGTCGCTAGCGAGCCGCTCGACTCGTTTCTAGCCCTAACTTCCCGCGCCCGTGGTTCCTTAAAATATTGTTCTTAGAAATTAAGGACCTGTTTTACTTTTATTAATTTATTTATTTATTTAAAACAAAAAAGAGAGAGAATTGGGACCAACCAATAGCTATTGTGGAAGGTTCAGTCAGACCCAGCTCAACAAAAAACTTTTTTTTTTTATTTTCTTTTTATTTTTTTGCTGGCACACCAATCGAGGTGGATCAGGCTAAGACTTGGGAACAACTGTTTCATGTGGTGGCTAATCAGATTTTACCTGCGGTAAACTCACACTTTACCATAGCCTAGTTATTTATTTACTTAAATTACTTGCTTCTTAACATTGGGCAGGATATAAGATGTGATTACTTATTCATTTTTTGTTGACCATATTTTTTATAGACCTAATATATTGGATGATATGCATCAATTATTTTTTTTATTGGATGTTATGCATCAATTATTAATCACGCTCGCAATATTAATGTTTAGGAGGTCGACTTCAATCTCTCGCCGATCTAAAGTCTTTTTCAATCTAAATCGAACCGTTCAGTTCAAAATCGAACCGAAACGCGAAAAATGTAAACTGAAAATCTGAAATATGCGAGTTTTAAAATTTGAAGATAAGAGGAGAGGCTTCAAAGGCTTGGCACTCTTTTGGAACATTAGACAAGCAACAACATTACTTTTAAGGAGGCACCGTGCGGTTTAACGGATTCAACAAGAATTCTTTCGCTTTGCACAAGAGATCTATCGGGCTTATTTTCTTTAACTTTTAAT